GAAGAGATTAAAAAAAGAAGAGAGACTAAAGAAAAGAAAGAGATTAAAAAAAGAAAAGAGATTAAAGAAAAAGAAGAGATTAAAAAACGAGAAGAGATTAGAGATAAAGAAAGAATAGTCGAAGTGAGTGATATCACGAGCTTGGAAAAATGCGTGGAAGCTGTAAAAAATGTGGAAATAATACATGGCAAAGCTTTAAATGATGTTACCCAGCGCATGGTTACAATGGAGACGAATGTTGGATATTTGTTTGAAAAAGTGGACGATATGCAAGCAACCGAGAAGACAAGTGACGTCAATATTAACAAACTTGTTGCAAAGGTGCAAGGAATTGAAACGGATATGGAGAAAATTGGACAAGCAATGAACAGACTGCTCGATGACAGGGAAAAACAAGAAACGGACATCAGCGTACGAGCGTTCAAATAATAAAATAAAACTAATTGAAGTATTATTCATCTTTTAATAGTTAAATAGTATTTAAGTCTAGATTATGTAAGAACATCTCGTGTTTAACATAATTTACTTGAGTTATTGTACTGATTAAGATTAATAATGATACCGACAGACATTACTGGAACAAATAGAATTTCTAAAAACTGTCAAAGCAAATAAAGAGGATCTCGAAGATGCTTTGGCTGACAAAGCGGATACTCATATTGTGAACAGAAAGGTAAAGACTCACAAAATCCCATGATCCACTAGTTATCGGTGCAGATCAAAATACTAAAAAAAATTCGTACAGGTATCACACGATAAATTTGATGCTGCCTGCGACGATCTCGCTCGTGGTCTCGAGGAAGCCATCGACAAATTGAGCAAGCAAGAATCGATCTGGCAACAAGCGCTCGATGAGGTGCAGAATGAAATCGCGGCCAAGATGGATAAAGACGAGATGATGCCGTTGAAGGATTTTGTGAACAGTAAGTTAAAATCGCTTCAAGAGAAGTTGAAGATTATGATTGAAGCAAGGCGGGAGATCGAGGCTGCAGGAACGAAGAAGCTGCTTAGGTATACACGTCAGGCTCGCAAATAAGACTTCAACGTGCACAACATCGACCCCTGTCTCTTTTATTCAGAGATGTTCAGTGTATATCGTGTGACAAGGATGTTGTAATGAGGACAGAGGAGATCGGTAGATTTTACCCTGAACCATTACCATGCACCACCAGCGTGAAGCCCTATCTAACGTACGAGTTGGACAAAGTCAGAAAACAGCAGAGAAAATTGCCTTACAGTAGAAATATGATCCAATTTGAAGCGGCAATGCAAGAGCAGGCCAAAAAGATGAAAGTAAAGGAAGAGATGCTCGCGAGGACTCCTAGGTAATCGATATTATTTTGTCCGAACGTAGAATCTCGAGAAAATATTATCTACATCTCGAAAAATTAACATATTCTTAACTGACATTAAGAAATATTAATATTTGATGCGATATTGAGATGCTCTTTTCTAAAGGGAAAAATCCCCGAGGTTGTTTTTTTCCCGGTACTGCAATTGTATACTTAACAGCTTCCGGAATATTTAAGTAATACAATGATAAATGTTATTTTTGGAAGTTTGATAAGTTTGATATACTAGAGATCATCTCTGCAATCGGTATTGTGGCGGGAGTCACACGATCACTACTCCTCAGCAAAGGGTCATGCGAACGGGGCATTTCCTTACTCAATGGGGACCCGAAGCGATACAATTAACGGACGGTTTGATGAGGGGGAAAGACGGTCAAATGTATCGCAGTCGGCCCATGCCGGGTAAAGATGTCTGCGAGCCACATTGCTGGGAAAGTCAGATTAGCGAGGAAACTGCACCCTCGGTGAATATCAAGATGATCTAGCCATCATAAGTAATTCACATATTCATTTCGCGAAATGATATACTATTCCACTCTCACAATTCTCTCAGGAATGTACTTCGACAGCGCCTCGCAAATCTCTGCCGTCCCGACGAAATAGCGCTGGAAACCGTGAGTGAATAATACAACACTTTGTATTCAGAGAGTTTACCGTATTTGACAAGTTATCGTATAATTAAATATGCTTAAATACATTACGTAATTATTACAATTGTTATCGTTGTTACGTGATCCGTATACATTTTTCATTTTCTTTTGTCGTGAATTACAGAAAAGTAAAATTTAAGAAAACTGCAAAATTCAAAAGAACTGAAAGTATTGGAACTGGAAGAGCAATCGGTATGTTACATGTGTTAAGGAAACTTAAATCATGTTTAACATATTGAAAATTTTAAGCTTATTATGCAATTTTATTTAAATAAATTACAATGTTTGACTCGGCACAGACGGAAATGCGCCAAGTGATATCTTGACAAGAAAATAACGACCGTCCGCCACTTGTTCCAGTTGGACTTCAAGATGAAATTACCTTATACAAAACTAACGAAGAGATAAAAGTAGAATAAATTAAATAATCCGAAAAATATACAAAGCACAAAGGAAATTTACATAACTGGTATAATTCAATTGATATTAATAGCTTTTATCACTTTGTGGAAACGATACGCATTGCACATTCTTGTAAAATTTTGTGCACAAAATTTTTTATTCTCGCGTAAAAAGATTTTCTTGGGTCATTTGACTGAAAAGATGGCAGAAGTGCGGCTGATCAAACTGGAGGTATTAATTATTTTATTATTAAGAGAACTTTCCAGAGTACACAAGATTACTTAGTGAAGTCGATTTGGAACATCGGTGGTTTGCTTGTTGAAACAAAAATATTGAATCGCACTTGACGTTTACGGCCGTACAGATGACCGCGTCAGAATATTGCACATCGTCGTCCGAGATCCCTTTTCATGTAAAGGATTTACGTGCACAGCGCTCAAGATATTTATTGGACTCGCTCCGCTTTTGCTAGACCTTACTTTACGTATCCTACAAACGAGAACTATGCGCGCTAGTATAATTATTTATAATAATATATATTTATGTATATATTACGTAATCTAAGAGCTACTTCATACAAATTTCAAGGTACAGGAAGTATCTACAAGTTAGTCTACCATATAATTTACGCACTGCCTCTCGACGAGTAATATTAATCTACGTGTACGGAGAATTACTATAGGTTACAGCTCTATGATCTCGCAATTGAATTAACGGCGCACGGAAACTTGGTCATACTCAACGACACAAGGTAATAAATATAATAAGAGAAATAAATATATATAGATTACAGTTTCAATAATCGGGCTATAGAGACAATATAATGTCTTAAACATTAACATATATGGATATGCATTATCGATTACAGTTAATAATACTGGCAGCTTAAAGTACGACGCATGAATTACACTCAACCTAGTTAGACGCGAAAGTAGAGAGTGCTTCGCTCGTTATTCAAGTATTTCCGCGGAATTTAAACATCTGCTTAAAAAAAAATCTAATGCCTCGCTTCTTCGTGTACACACCGATTAAACAGTTAAATGACGAAACAAGACTGTGACAATTTTTACAACACGCGGCTGGCACTCGCTACTTCTCGCCGCAGGTTCCCTATGTCACTACTTAATATTAAGCAAAATCTGTTTGCTTGCGCGGCCAACGAAAATTCGCTCACAACCTCTGCGAATCGAATTTCTAACTCGAAAAATTATTGTAACACCACGGACGTCTCATTATCGCGTCTGAGTGACGCGTCGTTGCTGATTCTACGTAATAATAATAGCAAGTTCAATTATTTTATTATCGTTATCGCGTGCAATCGCGCGAGAGCGCCGACGCGCACGCGGACAAGGGGAATTAAGTAACAGATCACAGGTGAAACTAGGCTATCGCGGTAACAAATTAATATCACATGAAAAAATATGTATCGGTTGCATCTTATCGCAAAAATCTCCCGCGAGTGTCCCCGTAGACTCTCGGACGGATGACTCGTAGAACGAGCCACCGACGGTTTAGACTGTCTGATCAATATCATCTTTCTTTTCCCACTGTCCCTACGTTTCCGACAATACCGTCGTTTTGCGACGAAAACATTCGTCGCTATTTTCTTGGACTCGCGATTTTTTCACCAAAAATTACACGGAACCTTCGCCCCGCCCAACGCAATCGAGCCAACTGACTGTCGTACGCTCGCTTATCGTTCTAAGCCTATTTAATTACTTATCAACGACAAGACGGACAACTAAACCCTGACTAAATGATTACGATTAGAAGTAAAGTTTGGCATTTTACTCGCGCTCGCCGCGCGTATCCAGTCTGCAACCTTACGCTCCATGCCCCTCGACTGGATATTAGGATTAGGTTTACTTTGGCTTTCGGCTCGCGCCACGTCGGGCTGCTTCTACGCGGCACTCTGTGTGAATCTAAACGCGCGCGTGTCTAAATACGCGCAGCTTTCCTTGTCACTTAAATTATACCATTTCGTAAAACAGCGTTTCTGATCCCATTTGAAAAGATTTCTTTTGTAGAATCCGCATAGGAACCGCGGATTCGAGGAACAACCGGGAAAAAACGGTTCCTTGAGTACGTTCTCGCGTATCCCGCTCAGAATCGTCGATCCCGCGCTCGTTCGAGTTATTGACGGTCATCACTGCATCGAACGATATAATTCGTATCCGTTTCCAATTTCGTTCTTCGGACTCCCGCCACGATACGTCGGCTTCTATATCGTGCCGCGATGTATGCGTCTGCCTATGAGGTAGGTTTGCGCGATGTTTTGAGGAAGACGAAGCGTGTGGACACCGATCTTTTACGCTTTCGAGTCCGGGAGGAAAAGGAAGAGGGTTGGGATGAAGCGTTCGCCGTCCCTACCGTTTCTACAATTTTATTGTGCAAGAAAGACCTGGACTCGGCTATAGACGTGCGAGAAAATTAAGTGTTGTCGAAAAGACGACGTTTGTGAGCTGGTATCCTCACTTGGAGCGACCTGAGATTCCACATACAGTTTAACACTGGCCTCTCGCAAGAAATTGCACAGACCCGGACGTTCTCGTCTAATCGATCGCATTGTGTTGAGCAGCCTCGCTCAGTCACCGTTTGTATTTTTTGTACTGTACTCAAACTCCCCCTAACATTTCGCGGCGAAGCGGTATTCCCCGTCAATGCCATTATTGTCCATTATCTCTGGCGCTCTTCGTGCGGAACGGTTCATTCGACCAGAATGCGAATTGATACGGAGGATCCCGCGGAAGTCAACCACGTCCCGCGGACGCGAGGAAGGCTCCCTCGTTCGAGAATAATATTTTCTACATCTCGTCTTCGCGCTATCAAGCTTATCGTTCATTGCGGCCGCGCGCTTTGGCATTCGCCGGGGGGTGAAAAAGTAAACGGATTATCAAAAGAGCTATACACAGCGCCTTAAATGGCGCTACGATAGATGCGCTACAAAAGCTGAACTATGACCGGATGCAGGAGACACATGTGCTCGGCACCGCGTATCGGAAGACGATTCACGCTGAAATGACGGACCATTTCCGGTATGTTTTCGAACGGTTTGCTGAACTGCCCCAGGATATAAGCGTTCAGCTCCTCGTTCTTCTGGATGCGCATATGCATGAAGCCGCGGGCGCTCCTGAAACAATTGCGACAAGATTATATGAGTCGTGGCACTCGCAAGAATCCGTCATGTTCAATGAACGTTAATTCGATCGCCAATTATCGGATATGTAAGTTTGCGTGCCACTTACTTCAGGGATAGAGAATAATCTTGTTTGGTCGACTCGCTGTTCCTCACCAGATAGCTACCTTCTTGGTGAACTCGCAGAAGACCCTCCGCCTCGATGCGCGTGATAGAGCCGTGATACCAACTAAATAAAAAAAATGTCTAGTGAGAGGGAGGTCCAGGTTCAAACCCTGGCTGGGGTAAATTTGTCGCAATAGATAAAAAAATTAAAATCACTCAGACACCAATCAAAGACATCCTGTCTTGGCTCTTGTGTCCTCTATTCTTTCAAATTGTGATTTCACGTCAGGGCCTTATGAAAATTTTATTGTTAAAAAAATCCCTCTTGAAATATCGCGCCTTAATCCGCGAAGTTTTGGCATCGCGAAAATTTCGCCGAATGTACTTTCTCAAAACTCAAAGATGAACAAATACAAACGCGTGTTCTCTTGCGAAAATTAACGCGCTTATCAGCGGTATTCGAGTCGGTTGAAACGTGTACATTAGCGGTAACGCCACGAAAATCCGCGCAAAAATAGAGTGATTTTGAAGCAGCACGGTGAGGGGCGATAAAACACTCACCCTTGCCTCTCCAACGGAAGCTCCACGTCAACCAGATCAGCCGATATCCGAGCGGTGCTGATTTCCAGCGGTAAGCCGAGGCTCAGGCCACCGGGTTTCTTCGGCACCAATTGACCGCCTGGGTTCCCGCCACTCGTCCCCGCCGCGTTACTACCGGCATCCAGATTCAGAGTCATCTTCGGACGCGCCAGACCGCCGCCTGAAATGAGTCACCCCGACAGTGAGACGCATCGTGGAGCTCCCGCCAGTAAACACCGATGATATACCGACTGCGTACGGAGTTGTCGGCGATCTATCGTCGCAAGTTTTACGATCCCTTAATAATTGTTACAAATCAGAACTTGGATACGTCGAAATTTATCCAAGTCACGGATTAAGCTGCATCTAAGAAAAATTGTTACGGGATTATCGGTATTGTTTTGTCACTACCTTTCGTAATAAACTAATGTTGATAATCCGGCGACAATCTTTCGCGCACGATGCTTTACGTAAGATTAATGTCTCTTCTTAAATAATAAGATGGAAAAAGATAGGGAGTCGACTGAACTCTGGTTAACAGTTAACCGACGTTTGTGAAGCTGGCCCTTAATATTATTAAAATAATACGTTGAAAACTTGCTGTGCAATTATAGCATTAAAATGAGATGAAGCATTAGCATGACCTGCGTATTTGACGAGTGTTAAGACATAAAACCGCTTTCTAAAATAATCTTTTTTTGAAGGTGGCGGGGCATTCTAAAACGTTTGTTCGTGCCCAATTTTTTATAGTTACACGACTTTTTACTTTGGTAGTATCAGGGTCGTGGGCTCGTCGCGGACGATAATGATCGACGAAGGACGCGCTCCGTATCGAGGAAACGCCCCTGAATACAGTAGGACGCTAATTTCATTTGTTGGCGCAATCTCTTAGCGGTTGACTTCTCGGACGCGGTACATGACGCAGGTAAAACAAAATTCCTCTGACAGGTGTAATGTCGAGTTAGCCTCTTTCGCGGCTTAATGTGCCCGAAGGGCACGCCGGAGTGCTTTCGTCTGCACGCATACACATGCAGATATTTACGATGTCTCTCGGGAGGAAAAAAAAAACAGGATTAGATTATAAGCGAGGTGTCTGCATTTACGGAATTGTCAGACGTAAAAGGATTTTAGCGAATTGAGTCC